ATGCGCGGTGAGCCCAGCGTCCTCCTACGCCGCCATCTTCCTGCATCTACTTTTCAAGTAGAAAGAAGAGAAAGAAACTTATCTCGATAGTGTAAGATCATGCTTCCATTCCACTTACTGGGAGTATGCCTAGGACATAGCATGGGATGAGAGACAGGGGTATGCTATTCCCTTAGTTGATTTTTAATCCTCAGGTGCCTCATAGTGTGAGCATTTCCCTATTCTTGAGTATGTTTTTTTCTGACTAAAGATACATATATTTTGTTCCACATGACCCTTAAATGCAAGCCAGCTACTGATCTTCTCTTTAAGAAATAACAAATATTTCTAGCATTGGAAGAGAAGTAAATTTGCTGTGTTTCACATTGCACTGAAAGATGGTATATGTTTTCTGCTCATCATGTCCCCGTTCTAAATGCAACATTTACTTGGGTTTCCAAACATATATCTTGACTATATACTGAGATAGAATTTTATTATACATCTATTGCCTATCTTATTTGATAATTTTTACCAGTACTATTCTGGAAACGGCAGTACTCAGCAAGCATTCTTACTATGGGTCTCTCTTCCCCTCCTCATGTGAGCATTATATATCCTGCAGGCATTGCGCCATTATTGATTGTCTTCTCTCTCCTCTCTCGTTTTTGGACTGTTATTTACTGCAGGTTTTAGTTTTTTAAAATAAATAGTTTTTTTAAATAAATAGTTTTTTAAAATAAGTTACAAAAAGATGATGCTATAGTCTGAATGTATCCACCCAAAATAATATGTTGGAATCCTAACGCCTAATGTGATGGCATTAGGAAGAGGGGTTTTGGGGGATGTTTAGGTCATGAGGATAGAGCCCTCATGAATGGGAATAGTGTTCTTCTAAAAGAGACCTCCCCGAGCTGCCGAATGTCTGTCTACCTCGTGAGGATACATGAAGTCTCTGAACCAGAAGAGAGCCCTGACTGGGCACTCTGATCCCTGACTTCCAGACTCCACAACTGTGAGAAATAAATTTCTGTTGTCTGTAAACTACCCAATGTATGATATTTTGTGATAGCAGCCTGAAAGGACTGAGACAGACAGTGTATGTTCATGTATCTGTATGGATGGAGGGATTGTTGTGCTATTTGGAAAACGATATTCCAAACTTCTAAAAATAGAGCTCATTTCTCCCATATTAATATTTATCGTCTTCAACAACTGTTTGCATATCTCCTTTGTTCCTTCTTTTAAGACTTACCTTATAGAAATTAACTTTTAGTTTGAGGTTATAGTTTAAAAAAGTTACATTAAAAAATACAGTCTCCAGAATACATATTATAATGTGTTGTTCTGTGAAATGTATTTCTATTAATATTTTTCTCTTCAAATTGAATATACAAAATATGTTCCAATTTTATGTGATCTGTTTCACATGGGATTCCCTACCATGGAACTCTGGCAACCCCTATACTAGGAAGTAGGGTTTTCCTGGACCCTTAGTGCCATCATTACTACCACTACCAGTTCATAC